TGTAACTATATCATTCATATCAATGAACAAATTCCATCAGGAGCGTTACCTGGTTTCACGAAGATGAAAATTTCTTGAAATGAAAGAAATAAAATACTTGCTTGGTTCTGTGATAACTACAGTAATCTCATATTCTGCTAAAAAAAACAACCCTCATACCTCTACTTATGAACTAGAATTAAACAATTAGAATAACATTTAAAAACTGTTGATGAACTTTAGATGTACATAAGAAGCCCCACTAGAGAAAAAGAAAATGCAAGTAGGATAAGGCACATACACATACAAAATATGATGTCCAATAGATATACGGTAAATGGTGATTTCCCCATTAATAACCAAAAGAACAACTAAATTTCTGCCAGTTTCACAGCTATTTAAAATCACAGGATCTCTGTTCTTTGCCCCCATGCCAACTTTATTATGCTTCAAAAATATTTACAATTGTTTTAAATATCATTTATATCTTTACCTCTGATCTTTCATTGTGCCCTTTCTAATCCACTATGTATTTTACCCAGAAGCAAATTTCAATAACTTCAGGGACATTTACTTGTTAGTATAGATGTTATGAATGCACTATAAATATTTCAAAAGCAACAAGGTTTCAGGGTAGTGTACATTTCCTTTCTGAATGGGTATGTTTTCTCTGCTAATTCTTTTTTCTCAGCCTGTCTTTGCATTTCAGCATCTCCTAATTTAACAAGAATAATTAACTGCAAGAAGTTTTTGTTCTGTAGCCCACACGGTACTTTGCCAGTAAGCCTTTCACAGGCCCTGTAAATTGGACACTTAGTCTTAATAGATTCCATTGATATAAAGTCAGTTTGACATTAAAATCTTTGGATACTTTTCTGTCCCGGAAAATGTTTAACTATGAGGTAGGTAGGTTTCTACCTAATGATGAAGCCCCAAAATAACTCTCTGAACACCTGATCTGAACATACTTGATTGGACAGTCACTTGTCTGAAATGGTGAAAGGCAGGGGTGTCAAACTTGCAGCCCATGGGCCAGATGCATCATGTGCTGGCCATGCCCAGACCCGGTTTAGCTAAGGGGGGGGGGGGAGTCACAATACATCACCTGATGACGTGACACCACAAGTTTGACACCCCTGATATAGGGTCTTCTGCTTGAGCAGGTGGTTGGACTAGAAGACCACCAAGGTCCCTTACAACCCTGTTCTGATTAAAGATATTGGAGCAAATTATAGATATTAAATGTATGCAAACATCCAGGGGTGGGATTCAAATTTTTTAACAACCGGTTCTGTGGGTGTGGCTTACTTGGTGGGCATGGCTTGGTGGTCATGTTATTGGCTGGGCATGGCCAACTCAATATCACTCACATCAAGGCACGCATCTCCTCCCCTGGCCTCTCATGACTGTGGGGATGCTGCAACAGTCATAAGTGTGAAAAATGGTCATAAGTCACTTTTTTCAGTGCCATTCAGTGAATGGTCACTCCACACAAGCAAAGTACCAGCAAAGGAGAAAAAAAAAACTCAAGAGAAGTTCCTGAGACAGGAAGTCTAGTCCTGCCAAGAATGTAATAAGGGTTAACAGAGAGGCAGTTTCTGTAAGCAACACCAGAATGTTTCCTTCCTGCCTTCCTTACAGGATTAGGCCAGTAATTTCTTCTAACAACCAGTTCTCCGAACTGCTTAGAATGTTAACAACTGGTTCTAGCGAATAGGTGCGAACTGGTAGAATCCCATCCCTGGATATGGGCATCCATACCAGGCCACCACACATAGCTGTGTGCCAATACCTTCATTCTAACTATTCCAGGATGCCCCTCATGTAAAACTTTCAAAACTGGAATTTGCAATTGTTGGGGAATTACTACTCTACTTCCCCAAAGCAAACAACCCTAGAGAGAAGATAACTCTTGCTGGCGAATCTGAAATGGTAGGAATTCAGTGGCAAAAGGACCTCTGGGCCATCCCCTTCCTACCCAGTCAAGGACTTGGGAAATTACCTTATCCCTTGTAGAGTGGCGTGCTACATCTGCTGAAACGCGGACTTTGGTTGAATGCAACAGATGTCTAATAAGCACCCAGTAGAAAATGTATTTGCACAAAGAGAAAATGAGTGGGATGGCATTTATCATCATGATCAAAGAATGCAAAATAAGTTTAGCATTCAGTAATTTGGTGTTAAGCAGCAGCGCACAGGGCCACAGTTGTTCATGCAAGGAACAATCCATTCTTGCATTGTTAACATCTGATTCTTTTTACTGCAGTTATTTACAGTCAGACTTTTTGGATCACTAGTTTGCAAGATTATAAAAAGAAAATGAGTGACCACGCAGAAATATGTTAGAACTGTAGGAATATATTGCCATGCAAAGCTGCAACCCTACACCCCTTTTATCTAACAACAATTCTTATCAAACACTGTAGGACAGGGGTCTTCAAATTTGACAGATTTAAGACTGCCCAGAATTCCTCCTCCAGTCATGTTAGCTCAGGAATCCTGGGCATTGAAGTCCACAAGTCTTAAACTTGCCAAGTTTGAAGACCCTTGCTGTAGGATTTAGCTGTGAATGTTTTCCACTGAGGTAACTTTGATGAAACAGATTCTAAAAATGTCCTATGCCCAAATACATATGTGTTTTCTAAATGACCAAATTCTTATTGTTTTTTTTTAAATCTTCCAGCAGTTGTATACAAAACTGTGTCTGATTGTTAAAATCATGAAATGTAATAATTCACAAAAATTCTGAGTACTCAGAAAGAACATCTCCTGGCATGCTTATGAAACAAAAATTAGACTGAAAGGAACTTCCTAAATCTCACTAGTGTGCTACTAATGATAAGGATAGATTCTCAGGCTGGTGTTTTTCTTTAAATTTGTGCTCTATTTCTTATATCCATAGACCGTTAATATGGTTTGCTGCTCTTGGAGTCTCTGAATTGTGATTGAAAGGAACAGACGTTTCTCAGTTAGAGAATGTCTTATCATTACGGGGTGTGAGGGGGAAACCCTACACTTTTCTTGCTTTTCGAAATGGATCTTTTTTTTTTTCTTTTGCATTTGAATATAGTTCCACCCTATATTTTTGTTTGCAGCTTGTTGATTTCTATGTTTCTATTTCTAGACTAATACGAAAGTACCTTTTGGAAACAAAAGCCTAGATGCTGGAATTTTTTTTTTCATTCCTAGCAAGATGCTACTTTATGGTGTGATTATTACTCATGGAGCATCAGGTGACATGATTTTCTCTGACCTTGTTTCTTGGGCAAACTACTTTGCGTCTAATGCCCAAGTGTCAAACTTGTAATGTCACATTGCCATCATGCGATGTATCGTGACATTTTCCCCCTTCGCGGAGCTGGGGTGGACGTGGCCCCGTAGGCTGCCAGTTTGACACCCCTGAATGAATTTCTCTGTCTGTGATTCACCTGCAAAAGCCTTAACATTATCCATTGGGCTTAAAGCAGAAGGTCTCCAATCTTGGCAACTTTAAGACTTGTGGACTTCAAAGCTGGCTGAGGAATTCTAGGAGTTGAAGTCCACAAGCCTTAAAGTTGAATCTGGATTTCCCATGGATTTTGCTTGTCAGAAGGTTGCAAAAGCTGATCACATGACCCCCGGGACAATGCAACCATCAAAAATATGAACTAGTAGTCAAGCATCTGAATTTTGATCATGAGCCATGGGGATGCAGCATACCATTATAGGCAGTTCACTGCTGAATAGGATTTGCAGACAAGAATCCAAGCGTGATATTTTGACAAAAACCCCAAATAGATGTAATTTATATTGGATAGCAATCTCTAAAGTGAACTTTTCTGGGTTTATTGTGTGTTTCTACCGTGTTTCTCATATAATAAGGCCGGGACTTTTTTTTTTTTTGAGCCCTGAAAAAATGGCTAGGCCGTCTTTTCGGGGGTGACTTAATTCCCCCCCTTGCATCTTCAGGCAGGCGGGCGGCGACGCCTTGGATGTTGATCTCAGCGTTGGTGGGGCACTTTGTATCAGGGTCAACGCAGGCAGCATCATATCCGGGTGTGCAACAAAAGTACTTCCTAACAGCAACCCCCCCGCCGCCATTTCCCCCCCATTTTGCATGTTTTAATATAGGCCTTAATTTGGGGAGAGGGGCTTAATTTCATTTCATGCCTATAAAACATGCTGGGACTTCCTATTGGGGGAGGCCGTATTGTTGGAGAAACAGGGTAATGTACATCATACATATTGTTTCCCTTTGGGAAAAACTTCACTTAAGAAAAAAAAAAGCATAATAATTTTAGCATGTTACACTTCTTCTAACACTCCTCTTGTGCCTAAAATAGCAAAATGATGCCTTCTAATCACATTGATCAAAAATCATATTAATCGGGG